GCGAGCGAGCGAGCGAGCTGTCTGGGGCCTGCCCCCCTCACTATGAACCACTCTTCTTTGTCCTTCCGGTCAGTCAATACCTCCTGAGCTTCTGCTCTGGGCTGGGCTGTGTGTGCCGGTGCTCATGTTCCTTCTCGCACCCACCTGTACATGTCGCGAAGGCATCCATCCTGCCCACGTGTGTTGCCCTTGCTCTGCAGGCTGTGCGCTGGCCGTGTGTGCAGTGCTTGTGTCTACCCAGAGGGGTGGGCGGGGTGTGTGAGTGTACATGCGCCGGGCGCTTTGCTGCCTGCCCCTCATGCCACCATCTGGATGACTCGGACATGCTTTTGCCGTCTCGTCCTCCTTCCTGCCTCTCGCCTTCCCTCCACTTCCCTCCGGCTCACTCCTTTCATACAGATCCTTGAAGCTTGCCAAGTAGGCTTTCACGCAGACCCTGAAACACTCATCACCTGCTTCACTGGTTGGTTTCTTGAACAAACTTCCCGGAGTGCCCACTGCACCTGTGGCTCTGACCCTGGCCTAGGGGCTAGGGCTGCGGTGGTGAGGCCAGCTAGCTTGGGCAAGGGCGGTAGGGTGTGTGTGTGGTGCCCGGTCATGTCCCTCAGTGCCCCAGGAACAGACACAGGAAGGTCCCGGTTTCAGGCGCCGAGGCAGGGCTCCTGAGCTTGTCAGAGGCCAGGGAGGGCTGCCCTTTGGAGGAGATGCTGAACCGAGGCCTAAGGAGCAGTGGGGAGGTGGGAGGGAGCAAGGCAGGGCCAGCAAGGGCGGGGTAGATGGAGCACCAGCACAGCAGGATGGGCCCCTTCAGGGCAGGGCATCCAACCTCACATCCTATTTCTCTGCCTCCCTCTTCTGGCCTTTTCTGGGGGATGTGATGGTTGCATGTGTCTGTGAGACAGATAAATAGGGTTTAGAAAGGGGTGCAGAGAGGGCTACATTTCTCTCCTCCCCTCTTCTGCCTGGGATTAAAAAATTAAAAAAAAAATCTTTTATCTTTTGTGTGTGTGTGTGTGTATTGCATAGTTGTATGGCTGCTGTGTGTGTATGGTCCGTAAGAGGTGCAGATGTACGCGGGTAGTGTGTGTATAACATGGTGTGATTTTAGGTGGTAATTCGGCACAGCCTGTGTGGCACGTGGGTGGTGTGTATGCATGTTTGGTGTGAATGGTGTACGGGAGGGCATGGCGTATGTGGGGTGTATCTGTGGTACGGGTTCCTTGTGTGTGTGTGTGGGGGGGACCTGCGATGCCATGTGTGTAGCACGTGGGATACAATGCGTGTGGCGTGTGGCATGGCCGCCTCCTTCCCTTGCTTTTGCCGGAATGCCCTTCAGCTGCCTCGGCCTCCACCCGCCCCGCCATGCGGCTGCTTCCATTCATGTGCCTGTTCTTTCATAAGATCCCAATCAGGCCATTTGTCTTAGGAAGCAGCCCAGGGTGGTGTGGGGATGTCGTCCCCCACTCAGTGGCTCTGCCTGCTCCTCTCTGTCACATCAGCCCCCCTCCTGGTGGCTCTCTGCTGGTTGGATGTAGACGTCTGTGTCCCCCTTGCAGTTGTGTGTGTCAGTCACTTCTCTTGTTCTCTCTCTTTCCCCTTCTCTCT